AGGCCACGCCGCGCCCGCCCCCAGAGGCCTCTGGCTACTCCGACCGGCTGCTGCCGCCGCTCCTGCCCTGAGCGCCGCCCCGCGCCCAGCCATTGTCCCCGCCGCGCCGCCAGCTGCGCCCGGCCGCCGACCGGGAGGCGGGGGCCGCGCATGGGTGGGCGCCGCTGATGCCGCCGCCGCCGCCGCCGCCGCGCCGCCCTCCGAGGCTGCGTCCCGGGAAACCCGGCCCCCCGCGCCCCCCGGCCCGGCCCGGCGCCCCGGACCTGAGCGCGCCCCCATGGAGGCGCCCGGGCTGGCCAAGGCGGCCGCGGCGGACGCCGACGCCCGAGAGAGCTCGGGGGAGACCCCCGACGGCGCGCCCGCGCACTTCCCCGGCTCCGGGGCGCCCTCGCCGGAGCCGCCCGCCTACCGTCCGCAGGACTTCGACACGCTGGCTACCGTGGGTGAGTGCGACGCGCGGGGACCCGGCCCGCTGGGGCGCTCGGCGCCGCCCGGGAAGCCGGCGTCAGACAAAAGGCTTGTGTGCGGTCGCCCGGCCGCCGCCCGGGGAGGGCCCTGCCTGGTCCCGCCTGCTCGGAATCTCCGCGCCGGGCTCCCCGTGCGCCCTGGGTCCGCCGAACGCCCCGAGACTTGGAGGGCTTCCTTCCGGCCCCCGAGAGCCTCCCCACCTGCGGGCGCTCTGCCCCGCACCTCCAAAGTCTCCTGATGTAGACCTTCCCGCCCGCCCCCCAACAACCTCCCCGGTGTCTGGGCCCCCCCGACGTCACAGAACTTGCTGGGGTCACGTCACATTGAGGACGTCGCGCGCCCTGCGAGGCAGGGGCTCCCGGGGACGGAGGCGGCGGCGGCCGCGGAGACCCTTGCAGACCTCACCTTGGCCAGGCTCCCCCTCTCCCCCGCGTCAGGATGCTCCTGCCTGGACTTGAGAGCGTATCTGGAACTGGGAGGTCAGGTGTCCCGTGGCGTTTTAGGGGCGCGGGGCGGCGTTGGGGGTGAATTACGCATTTCCTTATCCTGCCGTATTTTCCGTCTGTGTATCCGGAACTGGGCATTTCTTTTATCCGGCACTGATTTCCTTTTTGTCGTCCTCCTTTGAACCTGACCACTCCTAGGCAGCTGGAAACGTGAAGTCTCCAGTCCCCTGCGTGCCTGGATCCTAAAACGTGTTGGTGTAAGGAGCCCGCCCTGAGTGGGTCAGAATATCCCAACTCCGCAAGGGCGCTGCCTTCAGGCTGTGGGCTCAAGCCAGCCTGTGGCTTCTTAGCAGCCCTTTGTTGCTAAGGGAGTTGTCCCAAACTGTCAGGAAAGAATCAGTGGGGAAGGGGGCACATACCGTAAATGACCCTGGAGCAGGGGTACCCCGGTACTTCTTTGGGCCCTTCCCCACCCTCTCTTGGAAGAGAGGAAGCATTGGCCTCAAGGGCATGGCTTGGGGCTTCATATGACCAAGGGGCACAGCCAGAGTGGCATTGAAACCTTCCCTTTTCCGTCAGTAGCCTTTTGCCCGTGTGTAGTTGGCTGTGAGGAAGGGGTGCCCGTGTGTAGTTGGCTGTGAGGAAGGGGTGCCCAGGAAGCCTGGTTTGGGACGGAGGGGACAGAGGGCGGCCTCCCGCTCTCCTGTTTCTCTCCTCTCCCTCTAAGCCTTCTTGTCCATGTCCTCCTCCATCTTCTCTCTCTTTCTGTCCATCTCTCCCTCCCTTTCCTGTTTTTCTCTCTCTGTGTGTCTCTCTGTCTCATCTTCTCTCTCTCTCCCTTTCTTTTTCTCTGTCTCTCCCTCCCTCTCTTCCTCTGGGGCACCTTGCAGGGCTGCTTTAAAACCTGGCTGTGTTTTGCAGGGTAGGAGAGGAGGATAGAAACCTAGACCAGTGCAGTCACACCGGTAGGTGGAAACACAATTCAACAATGGAAAGTTGGTGGAGGACCCGGCGGCCCTTGGCACACAGCGCTGGCAACTGGATCTGTTTTGGGCGCTTAAGCAAGTCTTGTGAAAGGTGCCAGGGCATCAGGCGGGGCATGGGCTGGTGGGTGGGCTGCAGACGTGACGTAGCCTGGTGTCTGCAGCTGCCTGGGGGCCCTTTGGGCGCTGCCTAGTGGGCATAGGGTGCCCAGAGAGTCATCTTGTCCTTAAAAATAGAATGTCACTGCCTCTGGGGACCGAGCAGGGCCGGGTGGGGGGGGGAATGAGCTCTCCAGTTGTCTTTCCCTTTCTTAATGAAGAACATAACTTGCTCTTCGAGGATAACTTCCTGTGGGTTCCAAGGGTGTGAAGGGAGAGCCAGGTCACACGCCTTCAGGATGTTGGACCAGCAGGGGCCTGGGACCCAGGGGTGTGTGTGTGTGTGTGTGTGTGTGTGTGTGTGTGTGTGTGTGTGTGTGTGTGTGTGGTGTGTGTGGCTTTGCAGTTTTGGTGGCTTTTTAAAATCACTTTTTGCCAGAACTTTCTTTAATATTCCAGATTGGTTAATCTAAGAAGCTAAGAATAAGCTTTTAAAAAATCCCAAACCCATCAGAGGTGTTAGAGTTTCCAGTAACGTTAGACCATGAGGTGTCATGGACAAAAGTGAGGGACTATGTTGGGCCCTTTACCCACAGTTAGAATGCAGTTGGGGCCAGCGTGGTGCCTCTTCATCCCAAGCTTCGGGCCCAGGAAACTTAAGTTCCCTTTTGACTGCCCCGGACCCATTCCTAACTGTTCCCCATCGCAAACAGGCACCCCCAGCGACTCTGAATCGTCTGAGGCCATCTGTATGCATTTCTCCAGCTGAGCAAGGCTGTCTTCCACAACTTGAAACGAACCCACACACAAAACAGAAGACAAAAAAACCACCCTGACAAACCTCTCAGCCTTTCTTAACATAACCACAATCCCCACGCCCTTGGAACCTTCCAGAATGAGTCAGGGTGGAAGGACCAGGCCGGCTGGGCTTGTTCTCTACCCTGAAGTTCTGAAGTTCTGGCCTCACACGGTTGTGCATTTTCACCTGGTCTGATCTCCACTCCTGTGTGTGAGCTTTTCTTTTTCTCACCAACAGGCATTTTTTTCATTCTTTTCTTTTGCCTGTGAGCTGGGCCCCGGGGGAGGCGCCTGTGGGACAGGATTGCTGACTCACAATCCCCCAAGGACGGTTGTGATGATCAGCGCAGGTGGGCACAGATGTGCTTCTGCATGATTTAGCAAAACCGGCAGTGGCTGTTCAGATGGCAGGACCCCCCAGGAGGGTTGGCACCAGGATACCAAGACCCAGCTGGAAGCGGACGGCCCAGTTCACGGGGCGGCCATGAAACCTTGGAGATAGAATAAGGAGGAAAGTCAGTGACCAGTAAGGTCTCAGATGCCCTTATTCTATGCTCCTGGATAAACTGTCTATGGGAAGTTGTCCGTGTTCTAGGTTGAATAGCTCTCCACAAATTCAGACAGCTTGGAAGAAAGCTCAGCTTGTGTTGGTGAAAAATCACATGGGCATTTTGTTGTTGTTGTTGTTGTTGTTGGGGGTAGGAGTTTATTAGTTTATTTATTTATTTTTGCTGTGTTGGGTCTTCGTTTCTGTGCGAGGGCTTTCTCTAGTTGTGGCGAGCGGGGGCCACTCTTCATCGCGGTGCGCGGGCGTCTCACTATCACGCCCTCTCTTATTGCGGAGCACAGGCTCCAGACGCGCAGGCTCAGTAGTTGTGGCTCACGGGCCTAGTTGCTCCGCGGCATGTGGGATCCTCCCAGACCAGGGCTGGAACCCGTGTCCCCTGCATTAGCAGGCAGACTCCCAACCACTGCGCCACCAGGGAAGCCCCAACATAGGCATTTTTTAAAGAGCGTGGAAGGGACCTTGGGTCCTGTCTTGGCCAAACTGATTTCATAGATTGAAAAACAGGCTCAGTTACAGAAGGAATGGTGGGCAGCCCCCTGGTCCACATTCCTGGTCCAGGTAACCAAGCTTGATTTCTTGCTATGAGCACGAACAATGGTGCTATTAAAGAGAAATGTTTTGAAATAATGATAGGCGCACCGGGGATTCCAAAACCTGCACCTAGTCCCATGCACCCTTCAGGAAGTTTTCCCCCGTGACGTCTTCTCTAGGTGTCACACAATATCAAAACCAGGACGCGCGCCGGCGTGGGGTCCATCCTGCTAAGAGACCACAGACCTTAATCAGTGCTCCCACTTTTCATGGGAACTCGTTTGAGTTTGTGAGGAGGGGGCACGCGTGTAGATTTTTGCAGTTTTATCCTGTACATCCATCTGGGCAGCCACCAGCCCTGAGATCGAGGCACAAAGCTCATTCCCTGACCACAGAAACGCGCTCACGCCTGACACTTGTATTTTTTTACCGTCACCTCACGCTGTCAGAAAGTTGTATTTTCTTTAGACCGAGGAGACCTTCCGTAGTGAGTAATTAAACCTGCACTGTTGTCTCTTATGTTCATTTTCCTCCCTGCTGATAAGATTGTCTCATGCACCCTTGGTTCCCCAGAACCGGCCCTAATTTTTCTCCCTCCCACCTGGACTCCCAAAGCATCACAGGAGCAGCACGCCCTGGAGGCGGGTGGAATCCGCACTGGGGAGATTTCCCACTGCATGTGAATGACTTCTCCCGGGGCAGTGTTGACAGAAGCCTTTAGGAGGGAATGTTGCTTATTGTGTAGTGATGCCCAGAAAATTGTGTTCACCTTTTAATCTGATTTACCTTGAGTGGGCGTGAACGGGTAGTTTCAACTTCAGAGTGTCAGAGGAACTTCGAAAGTTAGGTAAAATACGAGAAAAGAATATTTCTTTTTATAAAATTACGGAAAATACTAGAAAAGAATATTTCGTCTTACAGAAGTCCTGCAGGCTGTTCCTCCTCATTTTAAAAAAGAAACTTGTTTTTTGGCCACTCCCAGTGGCATGTGGGATCTCAGTTCCCTGAGCAGGGATCGAACCCGAGCCGCCTGCAGTGGAAGCGCGGAGTCTTAACCACTGGACCGCCGGGGAAGCCCCTGTTCCTTATCATTTTTAAAAAATTGCTGTGAAATTCACATAACACAAAAGGAACCATTTCAAAGGGAACCATGCCGTGGTGCTTTACACGTTCACAGAGTCGCACGACTCTCATCTCTGTGAGGTTCCAGAACATTTTCGTCTGCTGCCCCCTCAGGGTGACCCCAAATCTGTGAGCAGTCACCCCCTATTTCCTTCGGCTGCTGGGAACCCCCATCTGCTCTCTGTCTGCATGGATCTGCCTGTTTCGTGTCGTCTTCATCTTACGTGCTCTGCTTTCTTACTTTGCATCTCCAAGGGGACGGCGGGGTGCGGGGAGGAAAGCGTAGGAGATGCACGGCCAATAGTTCCCTGCTCAGGAGGAGCAAAGGCAGATGGGCCAGAGGATGGAAAGTAGGGGTTGGGCGGGGGGCGTGCGGTCAGGTGAAGACCAGCCAGGAGGAGAGACGTGCAGTCAGTGAGAGAGGCAGG